GAAGCCGCAGCTTCAGAGTTTGTGTTCCGGTCAGACGGAGTGAAGCCCAGCCTCGTGCCTGCAGGACTGTAAAACTGCGGAGAACCACCATTGTGCTTCAAAGTGTTGCGCCACTCGGTTGTTTAAAGCTGTGCGTGAAGCCAGGTGCTCTGACCGTCTTCATGTTGATAAAAGTCAAAACTCTCCCAAACCTCCTCATCCCGTCCTCCACGTGTGAATGAGCATTCACACTATTGATCCTGTTTATATTCGTTATTCTTCCTACTTTAAATATTTTCAGCATCGTTACAGTTTCTTTGCTGTTTCAACAAATCATGAATCAAAACGTTCGGCTCTTTCAGAACAATCCTGCTGTGCCTTTCGGAGTTGGTGCAACTTTAGCTGTTTGAAATATTTAGACTTTTCTGCCATTTTGTTCTCAGGGTCTGTTTTGTTAAAGTAATTAAGAAAACTCATGGCAGGTAGAATGTGTTATCCTTCAAATCTTTAGATGTGTTTACAACCTTTTACTGATTTTATTAAGCTTCAGCTTCCTTCTGCAATTAAAACTTTTTCAGCTAATTTCAGCTGTTTTGTGCTCCTTCTTTCTGCTAACTACAACATTTTTATGCTTCTTCTAACTTCTTTCTGCTAATTTCAGCTCGTTATGCTCCTTTCAGCTTATTTGGAAAAACTGTCCTTACTGCTTTCTTCTGCTACTTTAAGCTTATGCTAATGCTTCAGCTATTGTTTAAACATTTTTTTAGCTGATTTCAATTGTTTCCAGATAAATTCAAGTTTTTCCTGGTAATTTCTGCTACTTTCAGCCTATCTAACTTCTTTCTGCACTTTTCATCGTTTTCTTGTTAGTTTAAAATTATTTCTGCCTTTTCAGCTACATTTCAGCTATTGTTTGCTCATTTCAGCTATTTTTCTGCAAATTGTTCATCAATAAGCATTCACACTGCATCCTCACAGGACATTCAGTTTCTCCAGCTGTGCTTCTCCTTCTCATTAGAAGCTGCTCCATGTTTTCTTCAGTGAACTTCAGATAAAGACACTTTGTCCTGCTGAGCTCAGGAGTCCTTCAGCTGCGAGCAATGTTGCTTCAAGACGCTCATTTAGTCGGAGTTCCACAAATGTTCTGCTTAGGGGGAGTGGGGGGGCAACAGAGGGCCAAATCAAGATATTTAAAGCAATCGAAGGGCCTTCCGTCCGTCCATCCGTCCGTCCATCCATCCATCCATCCATCCATCCATCCATCCATCCGTCCGTCCGTCCGTCCGTCCGTCCGTCCGTCCGTCCGTCCGTCCGTCCGTCCGTCCATCCATCCATCCATCCATCCATCCATCCATCCGTCCGTCCGTCCTTCCATCCATCCATCCATCCATCCATCCATCCATCCATCCTGGAAGCACAAGGTCCAGGAGGGAAACCCATACGGAGGGCTCTTTATCTGCTCCAGGGGGGTCCTCATGGGAGGTGCTCAGTAAACTTCCATGGGGAGGCGTCAGACTCCTGAAGCACCTCAGCCGGCTCCTTTCACTGAAAGAGGTCCATGAAGGTCTCCTCTGAGCCCCCTCCCTCTCAGGCTGAGCTTGGCCTACAGAGGCAGATCATTTCAGCTCCTTGGACTTGATGAGAAATGAGTTTTGTTGATGGAAACCTTCTCACTGTCCCAAACGTTGCATCCACAGTGGAGTCCTGACCTGGGCTTGAGAAACCAGAGATCTGTTTTAGTTTATGACCTTATGGAAGACACCATCAACATTTAGGTTATTCTTTGTATATTCCCCGAGAAAGCCGGGCTTTTCCCTGAAGGACAACATTAGTGTTTGAGTAAGTGATTATGAAGCTAAATATTTTACCAACTCACCACGGCTTACCGCCGTCAGTATTTGCTTGTTTGCAGAGTGTCCTGCAGTGAGACTTTTTAAATAAGGAAGTAGACAGATGTTTGCGTTCTGTCACCTGCTTAGACGTTTTTTTTAAATGACATGCAAACATGAGACTTTATCTCTGCCTCTCATTCCTCACACTGTGAAAGCTCAGAGATAACTGCTTCTACACAGCAAACACACTTTACATTAAAGTTTCCACATGCTCTGGAACTTTCTTTGATGTCAGAACCTCACCCACACACCAGCAGGTACCACGACATAAAATATCAAAGACATTTACAAAAAGGCATTCTATTTGTCCCCCACCCTGCAGCAACGACGGGGAATTGGAAACACCCTCGGTCTGTCTTTCAGTCTGTCTGTGTTGTGAGAAAGATGCACTGAAAAACAAGTGACTCACATTTAATGTGTGGCTACGTCTATGCATAAAAAAGATTCCTTTCCAAACATGGGTTGCATGTCAATATCCAAGATGGCTGCTACCATATATCTATATCTATATCTATCTATCTATCTATCTATCTATCTATCTATCTATCTATCTATCTATCTATCTATCTATCTATCTATCTATCTATCTATCTATCTATCTATCTAAC